ATTTTCTTATTTACTTAAAAGTTAAAAGTATTAACCAATAGCTCTACAAAAAAAAAGCATAATTGGATGTTATATCTTAAAAGTATTAACCAATAGTTAATAAGAGAAGCATTAACTTTAATATATTTTTTTACTAAAAAAATATTGATTTTTTTATAGATTTAAGTTAGAGCCACTAAACTTATAAAAACAAATACAGGGTCTTAATACTTGTGTAAACAAAACATAAAGTAGCAAGTGCTCTTTGTTTTTCTCGTAGTGGAACTCTTTCTATTTTTTGTTGTTGTTGTTGCATGGAACTTATTAATGTTGAGGATAAAATAATTGCAAAATCTAAAAGTATTAGTAAGAAACATATGGGTTTATATAAACTTTATTTTTGTTAAAGGTTGATGTAGGGTTTATGTACACTTACTAAATATATTGATTAGTCGCAAAACTAGTTGCAGAGTGCATGCTTTAGTGGTTGGGTTGCCAACAAGGACAATTTGGATTATTCATTAACTTGATCTCCGAATTATATTTTTATTCGAAAACCATTTTAACTGAATTTTGTTTTATTTGTTTTAAAAACAATGCTTGTTGAATATTGTAGCATTTTGCCCACAGGGATAGTACAAGAAACATCATTTAAAAAAATTTTATTCGTTTTAATTTTATGTGAAGAAAGTAATACGGAAAATAAACTACACGATGTTTTAAAAAAAAAAAATTTTGAAACTTTGATGACATGTTTTTCAAATTTTATACAAAACTCAAATTAATTTGATACTACTTTGTAATTATTTGTATTATGCAGTCTTGTATAATCGTCTTTTCGAATATAATTTCTTAATATACATGGTTTTAAATACTAACATTTTGATGTTTAAAAAAAAATATTTTATAGTATTTTGAAACAGTTTGATAAATCAACAAAAATACTATTAGTATTAAACTGAAAATGGTTACGAATTAATAAGAGAAATAACTACGGTTGGTAACATAGCGATTATCTTGTAATTAATATCTCTACTTTCTTTAGCATTTACTCTTTGTCGTTGGATTCAAAAGAGAACATTCTCTATATAATATTTTTGTATATTCTTGTACTATATAGATGCAGGCAACATTCATGATCATGGACGAATGATGATAATGGTATATTCACAATTAACAATTTCCAAAGCTACACATATTATACTAAGGTAAAAATAATCGTGGCATAAGTAAAGTTAAAGTGGGTCTTGGTCAAAGATTAAGAATGCTCAATCATCGAGGCACATGGTTTAACACACACCATTAATGAATCGTCAAAAAAAACTTGTAATCATCGAACTTATGTTACAATAGTGTCATTACAGAGACCATTGTCAAACTTAGGGTGTGAATGTAAAGTATGTATAGAGTAAAAGTGAAAAGATGGAAAAAAATTATCGTCGGATTCTACCTGTTATCAAGTGAG